TATACACATATATATATATATATATATATATATATATATATTACTGTATATCGCACTGTAAAATTAAATTGAAAATATTAAATTATATAATTTTGAATTTAACAAAATGAAATAATAATAATAATAATAGTAATAGTAGTAGTGGTAATAATAATAATAACACATGAAAATAATTTTGAAATAGAAGTCAATTTAGCAACCGATAGATATGTATTTTTAAAATAAATAGAGTATTATTAATTACATCAATTATAGAAGATATATTTATTCTTTTCTTTAAAATGGATATTTCATGTTATGTTTTCACATGAGAATAATGGTGTATCAAGAAGTCTAGTTCAATTAATTGAATATGATGTACAAGTGTAGTTTGTATTCAACTTTTAAGGATAAAAAAAAATGAAAATAATGGTTTTCTTAAACAAATTCAATTTACCAAAACTACCTTATCTGGTCGAACATAATGTGTTAATTATTATTAATTCTTTAATACTAAGCTGTATTATTACAAGTAAAAAAAAAAAAAAAACCAGTTTGGTTTTGAAGATGTACTGAAAATGACATAATATTATGTATATTTCTTAATTAAAATTAACTTTTATAAAAGTTATAATTTTATGTTTTAACTGGCTATCAAAAGAAAAATTAAGTTTTAGTTCACTATAGTAAATTACATTATCCATATATTAGAATTTATTCTACATGAGTTTTAAATAGGTATTATCAAAGATTATGATCTTATTACTTAAAGAAATTAAATTCAGCATCATTCAGAAATCACTTGTTAGTTTTATTAAATTATATTGAATACAAATAATAAATTAAAAGCCTTGAAGAAAATTATTTATTTATAAAATGATTTAAATATAAATATAAAACTAATTCCTGAAACTGACCAAAGATTCATGAAAAATCGGCATCTGAAACAAGGCAGAGTCGTCTAGCGCAATACGCGGAACCAAGACCGGCCCACGCAGGCCTTGCTTGAAAGTCCCATCTGATTGGAAGACTTAGCAACAAACTAAAACTAAATTCCTATATTCAAGGTCATGCTTATTTGATTCTTATTTAAGGGATTTCTATATATTCACCTTACAATAATGAATAATGATGAAAGAAGTGGGAATTGGGAAACAGATAGAAGAAAATATGGGAATTGGGAAACAGGAAGTGATGAAAGAAGTAAAGAGGCAGCTGTGGTTAGCAGTGCCTCTCTTAGTTAGGAATTCTACAATTCATTCTTCAAACCATCTCTTTGATGTTTGTTGGCCACCTTGGTACCCTCCCTCTCTCTGGTGCTTCCATGGCCACTTCCTTTGCATCAGACACATAATATAATATACTAATACAATACAACTGCACTAGCTCACATAATAACAAACAAGAAGGATAAGCACAAAAGCAAAGCTCACTTATGCTCTTTAGTAACTTCCAGGCACATGTACAACCCTGACCCTGAGCTAAAATGAAAAACTTTGTCATATGACCAAATATACCAACCCAAATACCTGATATCAAGTCGTTAAACAAAAACATGTATTATATGTACTTCACTCATGTACACAAACATTGATAGATGAGGACCTGGATGCAGTTTTCCATACTTTTGGATCTATTTGAAAAAAACGTAAACATATTTAACTTGTATACCAATCGTCCAATTAAGTCCAAAAGAAAAGGATTATATAGGTCGAAATTGATGACTGATGATGGTCCATCATTGATAGTCAATTGTAAATACCTCTATAACTCCTTGCCAGATGTTGTGCCTAACCCAAAACAAATTAAAGGTGTCTTCAGGTTTCTCACTATCCCTATGCTTAAACACTAACAGAACTGTGTGAAGTCATACAAATATACAATTAAGTCCTTTATAGATGGAGGCCAATTCCAAATTGAGCCTATGCAGAAAGTGCATAAAGGAATCAGCTTCAGGCAGTCTATTGAGTGAAAGGGGGAAAAATCAATCATCAATAGGGTAAAAGGAATCAAACTTCTCAAATAAACTAAAATCAACTTATAAACCTCAATTTTTCCATATGCTTTCCCATCTAGCTTCTTCATAAGCAAAACTTACCATTCTTTCCTTAGAAAAGTCATAGCTTTAGGGTTTTACAATTGTTAAGAATACCATAAAATGAACTCTTTAGTTTTACTGATTGCCCTATTTTATCGATAACCTAACAAGTTTTTAACTAATCATTTTTACTTTTATTGGAGATAGTAGAAATGGCTAACCTAGTCTCCAATAACAACAATAGCACACAATTTATTTTGAACATACACAGTGAGTAATAACACACCTATGGTCAGTGGTATTTTTCATGGAGCCCAAATAACATGTTGGGCATCAAGTTGATCCAAACTGTCAATTTAGCAATACCTGATAGTGACCCAAATCGTATCAACATAATAATGTTTTGCCAAAGCTGTAAAAGCCATGTAATAAATACAAATAATGTACGGAAGAACTTGTGTGCTAAACACCTAAACCTTATGCCATTTTTTTTCCATAAATTTTAAAACAACCATTAAAGTATCTAACGGTCATAATATGCAAAAACCATAATCTTTGAAGCACACTAAGTCGCCAAAGAGTTATGTCACATAACAGATGCTCATTCTTAACGCTGGGAAAATGGAATAGTTTGTAATCAAAATATTATCTGCAACAGTGAATATAAATTAAAAGGTCATACAAGCATAAACAAACAAATTTTAATCAAAACATATATCAACACCTCCTGATCAGACTGCCTTTGACAGTCAACTGGGACCTAATTTTTTTCATTCATAAAAAATGTCATCTGACCAGAATAATCTGAGATGCATAACTGTGCAGTAACAGGTAAAAAAATGTCAATAACTATTTATAATTTTTTGATAATCTCCTTTTCTTGGTTTTCTTGAGCCTTCAGAGTATAGAGTGTAGAAAAATACCAGACAAAAAAACGAGAAGCATGAAAATAAATAATAATAATAATAATAATAATAATAATAATAATAATAATAATAATAATAATAACAACGGATAATTACCACTACGGTCTCCGTTATTATAAATAATTAAATACATAACCTTTCATATTAATAAAATATTCATATAAAAATAATTACGAATAACTACTAATTTCAAAAATATTTAATCATCACAAATATAGTAAATAATACTAAAATAAATACTAATTGGCCCTTATCAAATAAAATAAAATATTAAAATTATAAATAAAATACCTATATTATATTTTTGTAAAAACGAGGTGTTACATTGAGAAGGCTAGAAAGAAGGAAGAAGGGTTTATAATTCTAGAATTCCTCTTTCTACTATCTCTCCGAGGTTCTTTAAGAAATGAATTTATGAAACTCAAACCTTAAAAGAAACTATATATATCTTTTTCTCGTGCTCAAATTGAATCTTTACTCAAAGAAACTCCTAAATGTTTAAAACTCACAAAAATTTCTTAATTCTCAAGGTTTTTTTTTTTTAACATTTTACATTGAAATCACCACACCATAATTATTGACAAAATCAACAATAATTAACAAAAATGCATGGTATTATATTGTGAAAGATAACCGTTCATGTTTACCATACAAGAGTTGAAGTTATTTAAACATAACTTAATTAACCAAATAAACGAATTACTACATTTGTTTCTATCTATAAGATCCACCTTAAAACAATTG